GGAGCACAGGCTCCGGATGCGCAGGCTCAGCGGCCATGGCTCACGGGCCCAGCCGCTCCGCGGCATGTGGGATCTTCCCGGACCGGGGCACGAACCCGCATCCCCTGCATCGGCAGGCGGACTCTCAACCGCTGCGCCACCAGGGAAGCCCTGTTTCCTCTTTTTAAAAGCAGCTTCATTTAGTTATAATTGACATACAATCAACTGCACATATTTAAGGAATGCAAGTTGTCCTGACAAAATACACCTGTGAAACAGGCACCTAAATAAAAGTTGCGAACATGTCTATCACCCCCAAAGTTTTCTTGTGCCCCTTTGCCGTCCTCACCGACCACAGGCTAGTTTGCATTTTGTAGAGTTTTATATAAACAGACATGTGGCCTTTGCCTTTTCACTCTCTTAGCAGAGCCATCAGGAGGGCAGACGGACGCACCTGGGAAGTAACCCTCCTCTGCTTTCCTGGAAGAGTTGTTTGTGTACAGCTGGCACCATTGCTTCCGTAACTGTTCCTGGAATCTCCACTGAGGCCACCTGGACCCAGAGTTTTCCTTGTAAGGTCTTTCACAGATTTAATGTTACCTGGGTGACCTGTTTAGTCTTGAGTGACCTTTGGTAGTTTATGTATTTCAAGGAATTGATCCATTTCATCTAAGTTGTTACATTTATTGGATAAAACTTTGAATAATATTCCTTCACCGTCCTTTCAATTTCTGTAGCATCTGTAGTGACGTCACCCCCTCATTGTTGACCAGGTTTGTTATTTCTCCTGATGAGCGGATGCGACACTCTTCCCTTCCGGTGTTTTTAAAGGAGTCACTCCAGCTTCCCTTTGATTAGGGTCACACGGCGTGTCTTTTCCCATCTAACCTGTTTGTATTTACAGTGCGTCCTTTACAAGCAGCACGGAGCTGGGACTTGCTTCCTTGTCCCATCTGCCCTTTTGTTTGGGGTCCTGAGACCACTCTCGTTTGCTGTGATGATTGATGATGCCATCATCTTGGTACTGGGTTTTCTGCCTGTCCTACCTGTTATTTGCACCCTTCTCTCTCTCTCCCGCCAAGAGGGCGGCACGTTATGGAGGGGCAAGATCCGCTTCCACCCAACGAGTATCCCCGCGGGTGGAGGGCGGCAAAGACCCTCGTGGTGCCAGCTCCAGCGGGGGGTGGGGCCCCCAGGGGGCAGAGCCGCGGAACGCTCAGCACGCAGACCGGCTGGAGCCGGCCTCCTCGCAGGGAGGAGACGGCCCGAGGACTCTGTGGTCGCCGCTCCCCGAGCCCAGGCCAGGCGGTGGGCCGCGCGCAGCCTCCCGGGCCGCGGGGGAGGCCCTGTCCCCTCCCCACGGGGCAGACGTGGTGCCGGCTGAGGACGTCCACGCGGGCCCACAACGCAGAGGCGTCTCCCGCCAGGGAAGGGCGTCTGTGCCAAGGGCCACTCCTCCTGGGCCCGACAGAGGGGACCGTCCGGTCAGCGCTGCCTGGCCCAGCTGAGGCCCAGGTCACACGATGGCTGCTCCCCCAGTGAGTATCACTGAAACGGTTCCATTTCGTGTCTTTGGCTGGCTTATGAGTTGTCACTGTTCAGGGACCTGAGCAGCTGCCTTGGGTCCACCTTCGCAGGACACTGACCCACTTCAGGGCTGATTGGGACCCTGACCCTCGCAGCGCCACCGTGCTGGGGTGTCAGGCGTTTGCTCTGACATATTTGAGAAACGCTGCGGCACATCGTTATTACTTTTAATGCCACATCTTTTAGAGAGGGCTAAATAATAAGTCAACACCTGCGTCCTCACCGTTTCCACCGCCTCCCTGCCCCACCGGCAGTGTCCTCCTGCCCGAAGGACGTCCTGGGCATCTCTCCCTGGGCACCTGCCCGGCATGAACTCCTCGGTTCGTTTCCCTGCAAAGGCCACTTGGCCTTCACTCGGGAATGCGTCCTCTGGGTGTCGGTCTGGCTGGTGCTTTCTCTGCACCCGGATGGCTCTGCATCTGACGAGAACCTGCCGTCTTTGCCTTGGTGGTCGGTACTGGAGACGCGTTCCTGTCTTTATTATTAGTTTGGAGCGGTCTGATTGCTATGTGCCTTGGTGTAGTTTGCTTCGTGTTTCTTGTGCTTGGAGTTTATTGAGATTCTTGGGCATATGTGAGTTTATGTTTTGGATCAAATTTGGAAAAATTTGGCTACTATTTCTTCACATCTTTTTTTGTTCCCCCTCCTCTTTTAAGGACTCCAGTTATAGGTGTGTTAGTGCTTTGACTTGTCCTGTGGCTCCCTGGTGCCCTTTTCACATTCTGGGCTTCTTTTTTTTTTTTCTGTATGTTCCATTTTGGATAGTTTCTATCGCTGTGCCTTTGAACTCACTAATCTTTTCTTCTGAAATGTCTAATCTCCTGTTAATCTCAGTAGTGAATTTTTTTTTTTTGCGGTACGCGGGCCTCTCACTGTTGTGGCCTCTCCCGCTGCGGGGCACAGGCTCTGGACGCGCAGGCTCAGCGGCCGGGGCTCACGGGCCCAGCCGCTCCGCGGCATGTGGGATCTTCCCGGACCGGGGCACGAACCTGTGTCCCCTGCATTGGCGGGCGGACTCTCAACCGCTGCACCACCAGGGAAGCCCCTCAGTCAGTGAATTTTTAAACTCAGACATTGTACTGTTTTTCTCTAGAACTGTGATGTAGATCTTTTTTATACCTACATGTCTCTATTTAACCTTTCAAAAATATAGAATCCACACTATTTTATATCCTTACCTGGTAACTTTAGTGACTGTGTCAGGGTTCGTCAGTTCTGATTTACTGCTGTTTCTTTTTGTCATGGACCATGTTTCCTGCTTCTTTATGTGCCAGTAACATTTGATTTGATGGCATCCTTCAAGGTAAACCCAGAGGGCCAGGTATGCCCTCAGAGTCAACCTGGAGGGCATGTCCAGGACCCCAGGAGCAGAGGCCCTGGGGGCAGAGACTGCAGCTGCCTGATAACATCACCCCGAGGACACATGAGATCATCACAGAGACAGACATTTATGCAGGTGGTGTATGCTTTCCTTGATGCACTGGCTAAAAATAACACATTTAAAGGGAAAGCAGTGGGAAAATGTTCCTTAAAATAAACCAGGGATGGTGACAGAGGAGCTGGGGATGTTAGTGACCCTGAAGCCAGCGCCCTGGCTGGCTGGCTCCCTGGGTGGCCGGTCAGTGGGGTGACAGGCAGGGTAGTGTCGCGGGGCCCTGTAGCCCCATGGCCTTAGAGGGAGAGGAACTCATGCTCTGACCTTTCTCATTGAAGGGCGTGTGCCAGGCCAGGAGATAGTTGTCGGGCTTCAGCTGCGAGCAGCCCTCGATGGTGGCCGGGTCTACCCGCTGCCCTGGGAGCTTCTCGAGCACGTCCACGTAGCGTCGCACCATCTCACGGTACAGGTCGTCCAGGCACCAGAAGTCTGGGGCGGAAGGGGGTGTGTGGGGGGCAGGGTCAGACAAGGGGCGGGTGGAAAGCAGCGACAAGGGAAGCGAAGACCGGCGTCCGGCCCCATCCCCCCAGGAGGAGGGAGAGTCTGCGGTCGGCTCACAGGACCCTGGTTCCCCGGAGAAACCTGACCACAGACGAACAATGCGCTGTGGGTCTCATTGAATTTCAGATGTTGTAGTTTTGCTGCTGTGCCTCTTCTAGTTACACACCAGAATCTAGGAAAACCCAGGATCCTCATACACGGCTCACGGTTCTATCCGTGAGATGCCCAACTGGCCCAAAACCTGCCTGTTCCTCGGGCCCTCGGGGATGCACGTCCAGGGTACAGGGAGCTGACCCTCTCCCATCTCCCTGTCAGCGAAGCGGCCAAGTCCCTGCTGCCCACCGTCCCCACTGCCTCCTCGTGGGAAGGCGTTCTGGGGACAAGCGTGGTCTCGAGTCCCTCAGAGATCATGGGCCACAGGACAGGGGTGCTCACCTGGGTGGCACCGGGTTTGACTGACCTGTACTGGGTGACCTCACGTGACGCCCCCCCACAACGCGCCCACCACTGCAGGGTCAGTCTGTCTACTGTCTGTCTACTGTTTCCTCCCACACAAGGCTCAGCGAGGGGCGGTCACTTGCCGAGGCCAGAGCTGGCCAATGGATTTCAATCGCAAAGCCTGAGCACTTCTGCCATTAAATGAATCCACAGCATGGTGTACAGAGGCCACACACCCTCCAAAGTCGGGGCCCAAGGTGCCTGGTCACACGGAGAGCAGACCGGACAGTGCAGGGCAGGGCGCACCTGCCAACACAGCTGACGGGCACCGGGAGCCCGGCCTGTGCGGGGCTGCATCCCAGGCCTCGGGGACCCCTCTTCGACCGCTATTCCTCTCCGGCAGTCTGCCTGTCTTTGGAAATCGCGTGAAGAGCCGCTGTCCATCGGGGCCCCCGAAGTATTGTGTGTCCAGCAGCCCCAGCAGGCGGGATGGTGCTTCAGGTGCAGGCACGAAGCTGTCTGGGTTCCAGTCCGCACTCACTGTGCGACGCTGGGCAGGGTACTCAGGGCCAGACAGCGAGTGTGGATTGGAACCACACTCTGTGAGTCGGTTCCTTTATCTGTAGCCCCTCGTAATAAAGCCCACCTGCAGGGCGGTGCGAGGACCTGATGACGCCGCCCGCAGTTAGAACAGCAGCCAGCCACAGTCAGAGTCTGCTGTCGCTGTGACTCAGGGGGCTCAGAGGCCCCTTCCACAGGCTGCAGTTTGTTATTAAAGAAAAAAGCTGGGCTGTTTGAAAACTAAACTTAAATGAAATTGCAACTTGTATGTTTAGGGAGGTGAAAACACATTCACTTGCCGAGTTTCTGGGGGCGCAGGCCCGTCCGAGCACGCCCTGGTGACCCTCTGGCCAGAGGGTGTGCGTCCGTCCAGCTGCGCCCGCAGCCATCGGATCTGGGCCCACTGCCACCGTCCTCACCCGGGACGGATTCCACCGTATTTCTGCCAAGAGGACGGGACTCGATCCAACCCGGGGGAGCATGTTCCCGTTGGGGGCCGAGCCGGGAGCTGTCCTGGGGGCCGCCGCACAGGACGGAGACACGCCGTGGGCTCTGCCAGGTAAGGACCAACACGAGGGCACGCGGACTGACACGGAGGGACACGGGAACCTGCCTGAAAGCCTCACAATCAGCCCCCACTGCCCCCAGTTTCGGAGTTTGCAGACTCAGAAGGACGCTTGCTGCGCCAGCTTTTTGCCGTGACATTGTCTTATCTGAGGTGCCTTAGCTCTCCCC